TGTTTGTTAGTGTATAATATGTTTGTTTATTATAATGCCCTTATATATGCTTTTATTATAGATCCTATATATTTGTTTATTATTGCGCCCATATTTGATCATTAATTAGTCATTAAAGGATGTACCTCTGGAAGATGGCGCCCGTCCTCCCTACCGCCCCCGCCGCCCGCGAGAAGAACAGAATGGAAGAACGCGACGATCGACCGCGCGCACCTCACCTTGCAACTGCTGGAAGCGCACTGACTCCGGAGGCGAGCTTGAGCTAGAGTGCAACTTCCTGCCAAGGCTCTACAGACAAGAAGTCTTGAGAAAAGCATCCTATGCATGAAGGAATTTTGATCCTGCTTACAACATTTAGACTTCATCGATGCTACAGAAAGATAAAACAATTCATTTTAGTATAATTAAAAATATTCTACGCAATACAAGGAACATTTTATTTGGATGGCATGAATATTGGAGCTTTCTAAATCACCTGCAGCATCAGATACTCTTGAGGACCTCAAGCACCACCATATGGCAACACCGTCCTGTACATGCCAAATGTCACCAGTTGCTCGAAATAACCTGGAATTTGGCAATTGTTGACGGCCTAGCCTTAATCCTGTTATATTTTATAGAACAAAAGCAATGTTTTCGTTTTTCTATTACTGAAATAGGAACCAGCAGATAGCTACTGCTATTTGCTGGTTTGTTTAATGGGTTTTAACATCTCAAGTTTTGGTTTGCTTGCCTGCAGGAAGAACTTGCGAAGCCTGCCGTGAATGACCGAGCTGGCGCTGAAACCTATTCTTCAGATATACAACTACATTTTGACATATCCTTTATCCCTCTATCTAGATTATTTTTCGAGATTTTCTTTCCTTATTTTATTTTCTTTCCTTATTTTATGCTGTAGAGTAAATAATATATCTAATTTATAATGCTATCATGAATTAATATACTCAATTTTTAGAGAAATGAATGATGTTGAGGCGTTTAACTTGGAGAGAAGTTACTGTATCATATATGAGAAAATCTCATAAAGAGTTAGCTGTGGACTCTATTAATCTGTTGCGAACTCTTGATCATAGAGCACGCGGCAACACATTATAGTATCGGGGTAACATATCCACTCTGGCATATAACATATCTTTCATTTGATTTGCTAACGATGAAACACGGAAACTATTTAAGAGCTTACAGAGCCCCGAAGAATTGCAGGTAAATGCAAGCGTAATTAAGCACCCAGTTCTGCTTCTTCAGAAATTATTTTCAGATTGAAGTAATTGTAAACTTCCAACATAGTCGCTCCGAGACAGCTCGACCTCTATATACAGATGGTGTATATAACATCATGAAATAACAACGAATGAGGCATATGAAGCTCCTCAATACATTGATTTTCATATGTACAAGTTTTCTTCTCTCTGATGCAGGCACTGAAGGGTCATAGTGTGTATTTTTAAAAATGTCCTATGTCTGATAGACGAGTGATGTGAATAATTTAGTTATACCTCGAACTGAAATCAATTCGTTAATGCTCAGTAGTGGCCTTTGAATAACCATTGCTGATGTAAGAATTGCTGCGGTTGCCCGTACCTTTGCTAATATATTTTTGAACCCTCAGTTACCGTTAGGTAATAGGGTAATATGATGCACGTATTTGAAGCTGTTAATATTCATTAAGTATTGAGAGCACTTATAATCTGCACTGAGTGTGAAGATTTAACTTGATTGTTAAGAGCGTCTCATGCGTTAATGATTTTTGTGCATATGAAGCGTACAGAGATTATTTGCTAAAATGTACTTCTGGCCACATTTAAATTTTGATAATCGGAATCATCGCAATGCATCTGGCAACTTTTCAAGGCTGCGTGTAATGCTTACACAATTAGCACTATGCTTATTATTCAAAAAGTAAAGTGTCTTGCTGCTAACACTTGCCTGCCTCTCAGGCCAGTGTCTTGGGTGAGAGTGTCTTGCTGCTAACACTTGCCTGCCTCTCAGTCCAGTGTGCACTCGTTCTTTCATGGCTTTGGCTTTTATTGAAGGATTTCTCTAGCCTAAGTGTTTTTACAAACCATTAAACTTCCATCCCCTTGTTATGTTACCCCCTAGCCTCATTTAATGAAAACAATATTTGCATATACTTTTCATCAATGGAAGTTACTGTCAAGACTAGCATTATGGAGAGTTGATGGCTCTTATTCTCATAACCTCTAATCTTAGTTGACGGCTCTCATTTATTATCCGCTCGGGCAGGACTGACGCCGCTGTGTCCGCCGACGTCCTCCGTTACGTCTTCGGTGCTCGTGCTGCAGACTGACGCGCCCACCGCGCGCCGCGTGTGCTCGGTGCTGGAGACGGCGGTTGCCCACGCCAGAGCTCCCCACCACGCGCGCCTTGCCACCGCCTTGTCCTAGGCAGCCACCGAGGGATATAGGCCACTTGGAACGTGGCGCGTGGGGGCGCGAACCACGTGTGTGGCGATCGTGCTGTGTGGCAAGCAGGGTGCTGGTGCTGCTGTGTGGCAAGCAGGGTGCTGGTGCTGCTGTGTGGCAAGCAGGGTGCTGGTGCAGGTAGTAGTGCTTTGGGGTGGCCACGATTACTGGCAGTCGTTAAATGATATGCAAATGAAGAAATGTGCATTGTAATACTGAAATAGACGTTAACAGTATGTTATTGTAATAGCTAACCTGCGAGGAGTAACATTTATTTCAAATTGCTTACCAATAACTGTAGTCCTGTTAATATCATCGAGAAGCTATATATTTTTTAATATATACATGCTGTCTGTGTTTATATACAGCTGTCGGGAAATATACAATTGCGTTTTTGGACGAAATGTGGAATTGACTGCCTGATCTTTGCCTTATGTTATTTCTCTGTTAGAATCTTGTATCATATTGACAACTTCATCAGCTGGGGAATCGATTCTTGCAAGACCTTACACAGTTACATGAGCTGCTTTGAGGCCGGCACTGTCTGCCTTGATGTGAGGTCACTGCCGCAGGAATGATTTTGAAAGCCCAAGAATAATGACAATTGAAAAATCTGCGCTTCTGGGTCATAATGCTATGCAAGACTGCTACTATAAGCTTACCTACATTTTTTATTCATTTTGTGAGCAGGAACTAAAGTATTAGTGATGGTGTAACTGTACTGTCGACCAATGCTAGTTCAATGTTGATTTAAATTGTGTACCAAAGATGGCAACCAAAGTAACTAGATGCAGCATTTTGGACTATTAGGTTGCAAGAACACGTCAATCGCTTCAAAATATGTGGAACATTTTTCGCAGAGCAGCCTCTGGAATCTTGAAACTTGGCTTGAATATGCCTATTAGAAATGAGCTGAAAATTGCTGGTAGGTATTCCATTATGTTTTAAATTAATTTGAATATGGAAGAAATATGTAGGAAGCTGTAAATATTGAATAACATGTTACATCCAACGTGCCCATTAATAGTCATCGAGCAATAAATATATTTTATACTCACACGAGACCTAAGTAAGTCGCACACAATTCCACCATTTCATTGTAGGGATAAAATCATGCCAACTCGGTCATTCATCCAATTCTTGTTGATAAATTAGTACCCAGCTTATCCAGGATGTTTTGTAATGCAAATAAAATGTAAATAAAATAAAATAAAACCGTTCAACACGCTTCGTGGTAAATGCAATCGAGGGATCTTCGCAACCAGCGATCTCACTCCTTCCTGTTGCTGTTTCATATCCATTGCCTGACTGATCAAAATATTGCATCGAACTTTTACAAATTGAATATTTAGACTTCATCAGCATCAGAAATTTCGATAGACTCGAATCAGCATGGACGTGTCAGCATCCATCTCACTTTCAGGGTACTAAAGCTGCATTTCAGTTAATCTTTTAGTAAATAATATCTTCATGATTTCATCTATTTCGCTCCTTACACTTTTTCAATTTCCCCTATTCGTTAATTTCGCTTCTTCCCTTTGCTTTTCCTCTTCGCTTACCTGTCTTGACTCAGAAGAGAAGCTAAATCGTCTGCATTTGTAAGTAGATTTCCTTCTCTGTCATGCGTCACGTCATGCAAACTGTCCAAACAGCAAAGAATAGTTATTGATAATCAACTGTTTTGCTGAGTATGAAACAGTCAATAAAATTACTATCTGTAAAATATTTTACTGAATTGAACGTGAAACATGATACTGAAAACACTTTACAAGCATTACGTGTCTGAAATTTCATGTAGATAAATTCTGCAGATGTGTACAATCTTTAACATTAATTTTCTTTGCTCACAAATTTGTCCCTATATTTCCTTGCAGATAGTCAAGTTATTTGCGATTCCCATGAGTGTAAAGTTGATGTTTTTTATCATTCAAAGGTGGAGTATCTGATTTAAATATTTATTAATTAATGGCACGCATACTTTCGCTGCTGCCCGCTGTCCTGGTAACTTGTGTTTGTGTGTTTTCTCTTCAACCCGCGGGAATGTTGTGTGTCGAAACCTAAGTTTATTTTTGATTGATAGCGTTTTTTATATACAAATTTGTTATATTGCATTGTTGTTATTAAATGAGTTTCTTTTTACCTAACAAAGCACGAGGTATTGACGCGCGGGGACAGGTAAGAATCATTCAAGTCTCACCATCGAAAAACTATTCTGCACTTACGAACTTTTTGGTTAAGAACGGCCGATGAGAAGCTTTTGACAGTGATGCTTAATTGCTTATTAAAACCTAGGTATTGTGGTTCATAGGTTCACGGCTCTATTTGTTCCGCAAGTCATGATGCGAGGAACTAAGCAACTTATTTCCTATGGAGTTGGCTCAGATAAGTTCTAGAGCGTCAATTGTGGAAAGGTTACAAAGTATGGATTAATGACCTGCGCTTCAATTACAGAACAAAAATTATAGTTTAACAAAATTGTTAAACTATACATCCCCTGAATGCATATCAGCAAAAACTAGCCAGCTTTGAGACTGTGGTGAAATTATATTTGAAGTAGTAAAGTTCTTGTGCCGGTACCCGGTCGGGCGATGAGGTTGAGCCACGGCCGAATTCTGCAGAGCTCACGTTCTGGAGCGCAGCCGTAGGCCATAAATTTTACTCCTGAGTGAGCCCTGGAGCAAACGCCCAGCCTTAGCATGAAATTACTTTGCTCAGCCACAGAACTAAGAGTCGTAGAATACGATGGAACATTGTAATCCAGACCAGTGACATATTTTAAAGATAATAAAGTCGTAGGTTTTCAGCCAATACGTAAGCATGCTCGCTCAATAAGCAGGTAGTTTCCATCTGGCTGCACCTAAACTGGCCTAACCTCATCTGGCCTTAACTATTCACGCTGCACCGACTCAACCACCGACAGGGTGGCCCAGTGGTTAAAGTTCAGAGTATCAGAATTGGCGCAGAGAGGCGCGGGTTCGATCCCAGCTCTGTGCGCCAGTTTCTGGTCAGAATCGGCGAGGAGGCCGGGCGGTTAAGCACAGCATAATTGTAGCAGCAAGTTGCGAGTTCGAGACCGCAAAATGCTGTGAATGTTCTGCGATGTTAAGAATCGGCGACAGGCCTACGGCCTAATAAACGTTGAAACCGCTATTATTAACTGTTTTACAGCCAATGACTGGCTCTACCAGCTAATTTAAATCGCCTCTCTAATTTCGTGCAGCCAGTTAGGTTAGGTCCGTTTGGGGTGGAGAAATGTGCAACCTGTGTGTGTAGCTTTGGCTAGATGCAGTATGGATATGCCTTAAGCATCCTTAAGAAATGGTTGAGGACGTCCTGCGCTATGGTTTTGAGCAGTCGACTTCATAGGCTGCTGTGCTCTCCAGCGTTTATACCCGCGGAAAGGAATATTAATTGAAGTGTGAAGTATGGCAAAGTTGGTCTCCGGCCAGCGGCCCCTCATGTTCATCTTCAGGTTCGCTAAAAGCGTTGAAATTAACAAGAATACAGCCAATGTTTCGCAAAACCTCGGTCTGCAAACGTAGCTCCGGAAGCGAGTGAAATTGCCCAATAAATGATAGTGTGCACCAAATAAAAATGTAATTAGCCTCAGAAATATTTAACACAATTGCGTATCATTTGCATAAATACCGTATTGACTCGCTTCTAACGAATGAAGCCTTCACTGGAACCGGATGATGATACTTATTCTGTAATTTACATAGATAACTTAATACTTATACGCTTCCTCGTATTTTTAAATCTTCAATTATGATTCAAAGCTAACTTACGGTATACCTTTTGCAGCGTCGGCATCGGGTCGCCTGCCGAAGACCACCACTGCTCTGGATGTAATGGACTATCATGACTCCTGCCCTCCGGAACGTAGCCTTCAACACTTCTGGAAAATCATATAGGCAGCCAAAAGCCACCAGACAGAACGAATCTCACCAAAGATTGTCATGATTGTCTCTCACCAAAGATTGTCAATTTTGTCATGATTGTGTCTCACCAAAGATTGTCATGATTGCCTCTCACCAAAGATTGTCATGATTGCCTCTCACCAAAGATTGCCATGATTGTGTCTCACCAAAGATTGCCATGATTGTGTTTCACCAAAGATTGTCATGATTGCCTCTCACCAAAGATTGTCATGATTGCCTCTCACCAAAGATTGCCATGTTTTTGTCTCACCAAAGATACAAAAATGGAACTCAGTACTCACTGCAGTGAGTGACAGACAGCACATTATCTCGTTGACAAAAACATGAAGTCACGGATGGACAGACAGACGGACAGACAGAGTGACAGACATTGCAAGCACAATAGTGCATTTTTTTCATAAATGAGAAAATGCGCTAAAAATCAAACAGCAAAAAGAAAACATGTCAAGACAACGTAATGATTATGCAAAAATAAGCAAAATGATCTTACTAAAACTTTGCGCAAGCACAATTTTAGCACATGGCACTGAAAGTTCTATCGAACGCTTATGGCTACATCGATCTGTCTGATTTTTGGTGGAGAGATGAAGAAAAACAAAGGGAACAAATCCTGACCTTCCAAAATTTTTTAACTCTATTAGGTACTTTTCAAGTTACAGCCATTCAAAGTTGAGTATTGTTTTTTTTTTTTGGGACACCCTGTATAACTAACCACGCCATTCACGTGTGACTGCATGATGTAATCATTGTAATGTAACATGTAAGTAACTCCGACAAACTCAATTGCTTCTCAAGTCACAATTGAGTGAAAGTGAATGACATTCTTCTTGTCCTTCAGGAACTCTCTAAATTGTGCACCAGCCACCAGGCGACCATCCTCACATTTTTGTTATAAGAAATATATTGTAGAGAAAATATTTTTGCTTAGGTTTTCAAAAGTCCATGTTAGCCTTTGTGACTTTTTGTTCAAAATTAATCTGATCCTCATCTGTAGACTGTGAATTTAGTCTGTGGGTTTGTTGGATCTGGGCCATTGATCACAAAATTTGATCATGAAATTCATTGATCATCCAAGTTGGGTGGTTGGGCCCTCCCACCATCGCAGCCCAGGCTCCCACCAGTTTGATCTGATACTGAAGCTGGTCAGCTGGACTGCAGGCTGAGCAGCTGAGCCTAGTGAAGGAAGATCAGCTGGGTTCATCTTCCAAGACCTGTCACCTACATAACTGTTACTGACTCCAGCCAATTAGCAGCCATTATAGCATTAACTAATTTTACTTCAGATTTAAGCATGTTCTGGATCTGGCTCATTAGGATCTATCACAATTTCAGCCAATTTCTTTGCTAGGAATTCATCAAACTTGTTTCTGTCTTTAGTTTTTTATGCATACTATAAAATATGTCATGCTGTCTACAATCATATCTGTATGGGCTACAGCGTACGTTGTATGCACAATAACAAACAAGCATTATTTGGTAAGGGATCTTCTAAAAACAACAAATAGGGTGAAAGTCAACTGCCAAGTGCCAACTGGTTTCTTGGGTGACAGTGTTTCATCCTTTACAAGCTTCACTTGTAAAGTATGTCTTGTTTGTCTGTAACACACAGACAAAACAGCACCGTCAACCAGGGCTACTCGGGATGGGCAGGGTAACTCGGGACAGTCCTCTGACATGGCGTAAAACTGTTTTAGTAGCAAAACTAATTGGAATATTGCAAAACTAAATATAGTGGCATAAACGTCAGCATTTTTCCTATCTATGTACTATAAAGGAAGTTCAAAAATACTACATAAACTAGCTTTGAAAAATTCCTGAAAAAAATGGTGAAAAACAATATTTTGAAAAGTTACTTCTGCCAAGGTGTTTAGTAAAAAAAATATTTGCCATATTAAAAAATTTTGCTTAGAAAAAAGTGGCAACAAGTGTCAGCATGGAAACTTTATTTGCGGAATTTACAGACCTCAATCCCCAAAAAATGGCGGCTATTTCCGCATGGCGGTGCTACTCGGGACACCCCCCAGGGCTATTCGGGACACCCCCAAAAACGCATTTACAGTAGAACCTCAGTTAGCAAAGGCTCCAGTTACAAAAAATTGATCAAAAACAAAGAATATTGATTACATTTACCTCACTTGGCAAAAAATGTCACTTTTAGAAAAATTAGTGCATCATTGGTCATCACAAAATTGTGTATAGA